GAACTGAGGTTCATAAATCCATAGCACTGGACCTGTGATAGGTAGCTGGGTCATTCTCAATGACCTGGTGTCCAAGTCATGGTAGACTTGGGTGTGATGCAGGTGGCGTGGCATCTGTGGGAGACCCAGGAGCAACCATTCTGGGCCATGATTTGACTTCAGGCCCCAGGCCCTGCTTATTAAAATGCAGAGGATACCTTATCTCGTAGAACTGGGAAGAGGATTAAAGGAGGTTTCATTTCAAGCAGCTAGTTCAGAACCCGGCTCACTTAGGTGCTGAATAAATGTTAGGGTTACTGTTGTTATTGGCGAGCATGTGTGATGTTAGCTGGTTTGTGGTCACATCATGGCTCATGGCTCACAGCTAAGGGCATTCTGCCCTGCCCAAGGCAAGGGGATGGCCAGATCCAGGCAAAGTGACAGGACCACAGTCTGGTAGGCTGGACTTTGGGCAGAACCAGCACTATTAGGGAAACAAAGTGGAAATTAGGAAGCCAAGTTTAAAATCTAAAAATCCAGTCGTAAGGATAGGTCAATGTGGGCACACTTGATGCTGGTCAAAGGGCAGGAAGAATCATTCCAGCCATCAAGATGTTGGGTGACACTCTGTCTCCTGCCTGCCCTTGGTCAGGAGTCAGTTGCTCAGGGACTGGGCAGGGTCAAGCCAGGAGGACATCAGCTGTGATCTGGCAGTTCACAGAGCCTTTCCTGCAAGCAGATTTTGACAGAAGGGACAGGAACATGGAGAGGAAAGGCTCAGAGGAGAGAAAGCAGTAAAGAAAAAGAATGCATTTTGGCCAAGAGCCCAGCCATGAAGCTAAACACCTGAAGCCTAGAAGCTGAAAGAAACCATAGCAATCGTGTTGACTGCCCTCCTCTCACAGGGCCATGATCCTTTAGCCAAAACCACTGGAGCAGATGTGTTTCCAAGTTCAAAACTTTGGGTATTTTAGAAAGATGTTAAGATTACTAAGAGATTGTATAACACCCCTAGAAATTTCTGGGGGAAAACACCCTAATCCAACAGGCGAGTATCACTGTAGTAAAATGTACAAATATTTACACAAAGTGGGACACAGCCTACGAAGAGCATGTCAATTCAGGTCGAGTTTGCTACCGAAAGTGTTTACACCACACTGAGGGAAAACGTGTGGTGCTCAGAGCTTTTGGGACTTTCAAGCTGGGAGTAAGCAGTTGTTTAGAGGTTGCAGCTGAGATATCAACCAGCCACGTGACTAATCCAAAGGTGCACACGCAGTTCACTGGAAATTCAACTCAATTTGAGTCACCACATACTTACTAGACATCTGCCACTTCCTGGGTGCTATGCTAAGCACTGAGGTTACAATGCTGTATTCATTTCCTAAAGCTGCCCTCACAAAGTTCCATAAACTGAGTGGCTTATATCAGAAACTTACTGTCTCACAGTTCTGAAAACTAAAATCAATTTTGAAATCAAGATGTCAGCAGGACCATGTTCCCTCTGAAAGCTATAAGGGAGGACTTCCTGCTTTGCCTCTTCTAGTTTCTGGAAGTTGCTGGCAATTGTCGGCATTCCTTGGCTTGTAGATGCATCATTGCAACCACTGTCTCTTGTCACAAGGCACTTGTCCTCCGGGTCTCCCTCTTTTATGAGAACACCAGTCACATTGAATCAAGGGTTCACCTTACTCTAGTATGACCTCCTCTTAATTGTTTACATCTTCAATGACGCTGTTTCCCCGTAATGTCACATTCTGAGGTACTAGGGGTTAGGATTCCAACGTATCTTTTTGGAAAACCCAATGCCACCCATAACAAGTGGTAAACCAAAATAGACATGGTCTCATGCCCTCATGAAGCTAGCAGTTGAGTGGGGTATGTTGAGAATTTCCAAAGGGGGAAAGAATTAAGGAGATTATATAGGAGAATGTTACTCGGGTGAAGGCTTCCTCCCTGAAAAAGTAACATTTTAAGTGGAGATGAATATATGAATAAAAGCCAAAGCAAGGGGGGAGAAGAGGGACTAACACCCTTTCTCTCTGCTGCCTAGACCAGAGCACCTGTCTTCCTTAGCACTGGGCATCCATGGAAGCCAGGCAGCAGGGAAGACCTCTAAGAGTCTCAGAGACCACCACCAACCATAACCGACCTTGTCCCCAGGGTGGCTCCCCCTGGCCTGCAGTCCCTCTCTCAGAAACTATGAATGTTCAGAATGCCGATGGTGGATCTAGGCTAACATGTGCAGGATTTGTTGAATGACCTATAGTAGAACTGGGGCTTTGTAGTCAGGTTGACGTTGGAACTGAGATTGTTAATATAATAGATGTTTTTCATGTCTAGCAATGCCGAGCAAAATATGGATGAATTGAAATCACAGAATGCAGGGAGCGGGGTTTCAGCAACCAGCAGGACCAACGCCCCCACAATTATAGTCTTTTTGCAGAAAAAAAAGTAGAAGAGACTCTCTGCTTCCCCCTTTTTGGCCTAAGTTGATTAAAATATTTTTGTCCCAGAATCGGCAAAGTACTTAATATATGACCTCCTTCCTTGGGAATGTAATGTCCTTTTATCAGGGTAAGCAGATATGTCTGTTTTGTGAGATTCTCTGTGCAGTATTCAAGTGGCCCCATGGCTGCCAAAATGCCTCTGCTTCAAGGTCCCCATGGCTGAATTTCTGCCAGAGGCAAGGGCAGCAGTGGGGAAAGTAGGGACGGAAAGTTTCTACTCTGACAAGCTTTAACCTTGGGGCAGCATTCACTGTGTGTAGGCAGCTTCTTTATGAGACATATGTAAGGGGGTCCCCAGCATGGGATGTGGATGTTGTATTTTGGTTTACACCCACAACGTTTTAGTATTACATTTAAAAGTGAATGAAAAAGTATTTTTGAAGCATAAAAAAAAATATGAAAAGTGTACAGATCCTACATGTACAGCTTGGTGATTTTCCACGAAGTGGATCAGACCCAGCACCCCAACCTAGATTACATCCCAGAAGCCCTCCCCTCTCTGCCAGTTCCTACTTGCTGAGAGTAACCACCATCCTGCCTTCTAGTACTATGGATTCTTTTGGTTTTCAAGCTTATATAAATGAAATCACACAGTATGAGTTTTTGTGTTTGTGGCTTCATTCACTCAATTCGCACAACACTTTAAGGCTTTGACTTAACTCATTCTAGGGGTCTAAAACTGAGATAGTAAGTTTATAGAAATTCACAAAAGGACCTAAAATAGTCAACCCTGCTTCTATTCTTCCACTCATTAAGAATTTTGTGAATGTTTACAGAAGAGTTTTCAAGATATTTTTTGGACACAGTGTGGTACAGTAGGAAGTACAAAGGCTTTGGAGCCAGACATACCCAAGATTGAAGCCTAGACTCACTCCTTACTAATTATTGGCGGGTGGGCAAGCCAGACTCATGGATTTTTCAGGTCCCCACAACTGTAAAATGAGGAAAATCAAGGGTCTATCACATATTGTTCTGGAGGTAATTACAGGAGATAATGTGTTAACGTGCCCTCTATGATAGTAGGTCCCATCCATTGACTCAGTTATTAGGAATTTATTTGCCATATACATTAATTATCTAGAAGGTGCTATGAGGGATAGATGCTGTGAGTGATACAAATCTGACTCAGATAAGACACAGGCCCAACCTCAGGAGGTGCAGACTCAAGTAGCGCCCTTGACAGGCAGAGTAACTAAAATACAATTAAGAAAATGATCAGTGTCTGCAGCAGGTGTGGATACAGTATTTTAAATATAAACCATGTTTGGGTATGTAGAAATGGAAGAAATACTAAGGGGCAAGGAAAGTAATTTAGGAATACAGTTTGCACAAAGACACAGCTAGAAAACCATGGGCATAAATGCAGAATAACTAAGTAGTTCATGACAGACATGGCTGAACAGGTGTGGATGCGAAGAGGTAGCAGACACATAGGTTGGAAAGGTAGGTATCTATCAGAATAGCAAAAAGAGATTGAGAGTATACACTCTGTTTTACAGTCTGATGAAAAACATTACGGCCAAAAATTTTTAAATCAATATTCAGGGCTGGCTACAAAAGCTAGGCGGGCCTAGCTACCAAAGGATCTACTTGTCATGCTTTTCTTGGCCAACTCCTGTTTGTCGAATCTTGGTGCCTAAGATTGCAAACAGAACTTTATAAAACTGATCTTTAGAGAATGCTTCTGACTCAGAGCCCAAGCCACTGAGTCTTGCCCTTATCACTCCCATTTTGGAGGCTGCATCAACAGGGAAATGCAGTAGGATTGTTTTTATAGGCCCTTAGCTCACTATAAATGTGTTTCTCAAGACTTGGCCCTTTGGAACTGGCCAATTCATGCACTCAGCTCATCTCTGTGTATTTGACATCTACATCCAGAAAATGAGCCACTCTTGTCAGTTGCTCCCCCACGAGAAGGCTGATCTTTTTAGCAGCCTCCTCTTCTGTTACATTACCCAGTCCCAGGCAGCGATGATATTTATACATAAGACAGGGACGTTTCTATGCTATGATGGAAGTTTGAAGGAAGTTGGAGCCAATGACCTTTCACTTTGAAACCAAAGAAAAACAAGCACAAATTTTTCAGCCTTGCTAAGAATGGGAGCTGGAGAAATTAGCAGAAAGGCTTCTTCTAGCCTATTCAATATGTGGTTTCCAAAGCCTTTATGTATTCGGGCTATGTCTCATCTAATATACCCCCCCTCTTATTTTGATGAAGTTTATATGTTCCATCATAATAGACATGGATGTGACCATTATTGATAATATCATAGGTAAACGTTGGATGTTACATTTTATCACCCTTTTTGCTTTATTCTAAATGAATTCTAGAGCATGAAGGAAAAGGATCAGTTCCAGGCTTGGGGTGGAATTACTAGCCCATCTTGGGCTAGAACTTCCCACATACCCAGTTAGGGGTTGTTTTTTTTCTGTATTAGCAGCACAAGTTCATGAGAAATGTTTTCTGCACAGGTACTAAGAGTGTCTTCTTCCTCTCTGCTTTCTTCTCAGGTGGGAAATTGGCAAGTGGAGTCCATGTAGTCTCACCTGTGGCGTTGGCCTACAGACCAGAGATGTCTTCTGCTCCCACCTACTTTCCAGAGAGATGAATGAGACGGTCATCCTGGCTGATGAGCTGTGTCACCAGCCCAAGCCCAGCACAGTGCAAGCTTGTAACCGCTTCAATTGCCCGCCAGCCTGGTACCCTGCACAATGGCAGCTGGTAAGTTCTGAGGTTACTCAGTTTTGGAGGTTTTGTTTGCAACCGTGATTCAGGACAAGTCATACTCTCTCAGAGTGGTTTTGTCCCATTCAGGGAATGTTTAAGATCTGCTCATCCCTCCCTTCTTAGTATTCCCCTAATCTTATTTAAATCCATACCTTGTAATTTTAAGTACCATGTTCTTTCTACTCTACCACACTTCAATGACATCTAAAAGGAATTCACATGACCTATCTGTTAACCCGAGCATATTCATGACAAAGTTGTCACTAAGCAAAGAACAAATTTAAAAAGTACAGGCAATGTGTTCAGTTTTCCATAAGGCTATCTTTTTCTGAATTTATAGCCTCTCTAGTTGTTTGCTGCTTAAAATTCTAAAAAAAAAGAAGAAGCAATAAAAAATAAAAAAGGTACTAAGCAATTATTTTTCTTTTTAAAAAAATATTATCACTTAGCAAAATACAAAGTTAGAAATTCTAAGTCAATTCCAAAGTTCTTTATTTTTCTAATCCTATGAATTCCAAGTCTGGGAATCATTGTTTTAAAGCAGGGGTTGGCAAACTGCAGCCTACAAACTAAATCCAGCTCATAGCCTTTTTTTATGCACATAAAGTTTTATTGGAACATAGCCACACCCATTCTTTTACATATTGTTTACAGCTGCTTTTGTATTACAAGGGCAGAATTGTGTAGTTGTGGCAGAGATCATGTGGCTCATAAAATCTAAAATATATGCCACCTAGCCCTTTACAAAAATGTTTTCCAATTCTGCACCAAAGCATACATTATAATAATAAAAACACCAACTATTTTATCATAATATCCTATCTAAAATTAATATGCATTATCAAGCTTTAGCTAAATAATATTCTTGCATGCCTGTAAAACACACTGGATTTTTTTTTTAATTTTTTTTAATTCTTTTTTTTTAATTATAAAGATGTGGGGTACAATTCAGGGTTAGGTATATAAACGTTGATTATGCAGGTACCCTTGTTGATGAGGTGTGCCCCTCCCTTCCCTGGTAGTTTCCCTCAACTGCCAATCCCATCCCCTTCCCTGGCAGTTTCCCACTCCTGCCAATCCCTTTCTTATAGTATTATAATAATTGATCCAGGTCCGCTTATGAGTGAGAACATATGGTACTCTGTTCTTTGTTTCTGTGATACATCACTGAGTATGATCGACTCTAAATCCATCCAAGTTACTGCAAAGTTCGTATGTTTGTCCTTCTTTATGGTTGCATAATATTCCATTGTGTATATGTACCACATTTTTTAAATCCAGTCCAGTTTCAATGGTTCCATGTTTTTGCTATTGAAAACACACAGGGTTTTGGATTGACTGATTGAATAAGATCTTATTTTGCAAGTTGCTCCCCATTAGGACATCCGATATAGCTATAAAGCGATAACAAAGGTCACCAAAATAAACCTGGAAGGTGGAAGGGACATACACTCCCTTTTTACTGAGATAGCTTTTTACTCTCAAAAGTGGCCCACTTTGGATGATAAGTGATACAGTCATTGAATGAGGGGGAGAGAGGATGGCAGCTCCATACCCTTGGCTTCTGCTGGTGGGGAGCTGTCATTTCCAGGCAGCCAAGTGTCCTCCTCTATGTTTTTGGCTGAGCTCTTTCCTTCTCCCCGCCTGTCTTGGAGCTGTGGTGTAGTAAAGCACCCAAAGAATCAGATAGTAATGAGTGTGCAAAATACTAAAGGACAAAGCATCTGGTAACAGACATTGACTATAGATTTTCTTCTAGAGCTTAAATGTACATGGCTAAATTCATGAATTCTGTGCTACTGTGGATGGTTCATGGAAATTAATATGTAATATATTTGGAAAGCACACCTAACTGAAGTTAGTTCTCATAACAAGTCAGTGAAAGTAGGCTTTATTATCCTCATTTTAGGTCCAAAGAAACTGAGGCTCACACAGCTAGCAAATTTAGGGTTGGTCATTAACCCAATCTTACGTGACCCTTTCCACTGTACCAAATCCCATCGTTATATGGTTGAAAGAGCTCTCAGAGATTAAATATGAACATCCTTATTTTACAGATGATGTGACTGTGCCCTAGATATAGCTTTGCTCAGGATCTTAAAGCCTGGACCAGAAATCAGGTCTACTGATTTTTAGTGCGTTTATACTAATTTATCTCTAATTGTGACCTTAAACTGCACCAAAAACCCATGCCAATCCTAATAAAAAGTGAGAAATAATCTCAAATCAACCTCCACTGTTGAAACTAAGTCCCTGTATTATTAGTAGCTTGTGTTACTATTAGGTACATAGTAAGTGATGGATGAAATGTTTACTGAATGATGAAATGAATAGATCAAGAATACCTCCCCACAGGCCCTGGAAAATGCTGGCTGGATATCTTGCTGACATGCCTTTTTATGGTTATAGGTCATAATATTGTCCAAGCCAAAAAATTCAGTGTAACACCCACCTCTTCTCAATAGCCACACATGCTGCTAAATAACTACATCGACCATGATGCTTTTTCAGTTTTGAGAGCACAGTCACACACATGACCGTTTTTTGGTCAATTGTCACCACACCTACACACCCAGTATGTCCCTATCTGAAACAGTGGCTTTCCAAAGAGTCACTTATTTTTCCAATTTCCATCTACTGTGGACCGGTGAAGAAATAAATTTATTTTGAAAGCTGTTTCTATTTCCTTCTGTTAGGGAGAGAAGCCTTTGAGGTTGAGTCAGGTTTAAGTCCGTTTTTCAGGTCAGGAAACTGATAGTAAACAGCTTTTTGAAGTTCTTCCAATAAGTCAATGACTTCCTTTTTAACAGGACCTTTAAAAAGTATCTGCATTCATACCTAATCCATAATAATTGTGAAAAATAGTCAAACAAAACAAGAAATAAAGAACAGAGATAGTAAAAGTCACCAATAATTCTACCCTCCAGAGAAAGCTCTTATTGAGAGTTTGATGCATGGGGTCTGTTTTAAGAATCTTTGCTCACTTTTAGGAATCTCTCTAAACTTGGAGAAAACAATAAATTATTCATTCTACATTATTTACTAGAATTCCTACCTCTTGAGTTAAGCTTTGTTGGAAAAAATTAGCTATTATTGACTGATTCTTTTTTTTTTTTGACTGCTTTTTAAACACAGCCGATGTTTATGCTAAATGGTGGTCTAAGTCAAAAGTGACTTCAGGTGTCCCTAGCTAGTTGGCTGTGGTCTTAGGACACCGCTTAGTGAGGACAACAGCTGTCAACAGTTGCTTGGTTAAGCCCTCTGATTCCTCAGCAGTCCTCGTTGCCACTAGGGAACCTGGTGTGCACTCAAGCAGTCTTTTCCATTTAGCTTGCAAGGATCTACCAGGGAATAATGCTGAGGTCTCTTACCCATCAACACCCAGCCTATAACCTTTTTTCTTATGAAAGAAACAGAGATGGGAGCATCAAATGCTTCATTAAAAAAATACAGATAACAACCTGATAGACATTGCCTATGTCAAGGAAGGCTTTCCTCCTCACTGTTTGAACACAGTGTTACCACTAACCTTATGTATATTTATTTTCCTGGGAAGGAAAAAAAAAAAGCATAAATTACATAAATTTTATCTGCCAGATAGGAAAGCAACCTCCTTTGATCTTTGTAGAGCATTTGTGTGACAAATGGCAAATAGCTAATATTTACAGATTCTGCTGATCTGGAGGGAACCTAGCATGGAGGCCAAGTATTTATGTTAAAGTTTTGTTTTAGAAACAATTAAGCAGAAATTAACCCAGAAATCCAACTCTAGCTTTGGTGGTTATGGGTGGGCACCTTTATTTCAGTTCTGTCTCTTAATACTCTGTTCCTTAGTTTTTAACCTCTGGTCTTTGTGAAGGATTCACATTTATCTAATTTATCTTTATCAATATAGCTTCAATATCTTGATTGTTTGTATTTAGATGACTCTTGAACACTTATATTTTTTGTGTGCATTAGTTCCCTGCATCTTCTCTAATTTATTAAATACACACACACACACACACACACACACTCATAATTGTCATTGTCATCATCATTATCTTTGGGGTTGTTATAAATGACTCATGAGAAACCTCACAAGGGATCACATCACACTAGTGAGTTACCACACCATGACTGCGAAGCATTGTTAATAGACAATTTCGTCGGAAATGCGTTGATCAAGCCTGGGTTGTTAGAATCTTTTCAATGACTCTCCGTAGCCATATACTAAAGCCAGTATGTGAGTTTATTTATTTATCTATTTTCTGAGTCGGATTCTCACTCCATCACCCAGGCTGGAGTGCAGTGGCACGCTCACGGCCACCGCAGCCTCGCCTGCTACCGGGCCCAGGTGATCCTTCCGCTTCACTCCTCCAAGTAGCTGGAGTCACAGGCATGTGCCACCATGCCCGGCTAAGTTTCCCTCCCATCTGCCTGTCACGGCCCAGCGGAAACCCTCTTTCTTCTGCTATGATTCCTCTACCGTCCTTCCACACAGAAGTCACATAGTACTGAGGAACAGGATGACTCATTTAACAATCAAATGCCTTATCTGGACAGGCGCTTTCTCCTGACTTCTAAGTTAGACCATCAGGTCAAAGAAGGCAGAGACCAAATCTTAAGTAAGACTCCATAACACCCATGCACATCTGTAAAGCATAGAGTTTGGTGCTGGAAAAGTATGTGCCCAGTCTGCTAGACTCGTTTATTGAGCAATTGCTACATTTCAGAAGCTGCTTTTTTGTTGTTTAAATAAGTGTAGCACTTACTCTATATCAAGCACAGCTCTAGACGCTTTTTTACCTCACTGAATCTTCACTATCCTTTATGGTAATTACTAATATTATCCCCAATTTACAGATGCAGAACCTGAAGAACTGTGAGTTAACAAAAATTGAAACCTCATGCACTTGAATTCATTCTGCAACTCTTAATTTTCTCTTCTGATCCTCACAGCAGCCTCGAGAGGAAAGAGAGCTCCGAGGAGTTGTGCTTGCCCCAAGTCACTT